CCTCTGTGAGCCTCACTGTGACCCCATTACACAGATGAGTGGACTGAGGCCAAAGAGGTTAAGCTAACATGTCTCCCACTGCTCAGCTAGTAAGTGGCAGAAATGGGCTCCTGGACTGGCCCCAATATCCTGAGATGGTCTGCCAAGTCCCCGAGGCTTTCCTGTACTTCTTCCAGAAAACTCCAGTGCCCCCCTGCCCTGGGAAAATGTCCCCATCAGCCCCTCCATGAGCGGGAGAGGGTGAGCAGAGGCAGGCCAGGCCCTGCGGAGAGAGGGCGGCGGGGGTGGCTGCCGTGTTTATTAATTTTCTGCCTCGGTGGGTCTGCGGCCCCAGTCAGAGCCTGCACAGTTGCCATTCAGTCTATTCAATAATTCTATCTGGGAAGAACCTGGCATCCGAGGGACCGTGCTGATGGGCCTCTAAAATTTAATTGCTGCATTAAACGAGATCAGAAATGAGGAGGTGAGCAGGGCGAGGCCAGATGAAAAGGATGGCCGTGTTTCGGGACGTGAGGGGGACATAGCAGACACATTTCTGTCAGCTCCTGTCAGCCTGGCGTCGCACACCTCCCATACCGGACCGCGAGAAGGGGAGAGCGCCCGGGCCCGAGCCCCTTAAAACCTCCCATCGCCTGGCCAAGAGTTGGCTCCCTTGAGGCCTGCCATCTTGCTCCTCCTCCCCCACCCCACGGGCTCCTCCAGGCCAGTCACGCCAGTCTAGACACCTTTTCCTGAATGTTCCCTGCACGGTCCCACTTCCTAGCCTTTGCTCAAATCCCTTAACTGAAGGTGCTGTTCTACTTGCACCAAGCAAACTCTCCCCACCCATCATCCAAAGCCCTCCTCGACCTCCAGGAAGAGCCCGTGGCCCTACTGTCTGTGGGGCGAGACCCCTGGAGGGCAAGACGAAGTTCCCTATGGTTCTGATAATACTTCTGATGTCTTAAAAGCTCTTTTTCTGAAAATTTTTTTCTCCCCCTGCATTTCTCTTTCCTTCTTTCTCTCTGTTAAGTAAGTGGCCGGCTCTGGGCCTCCCTCCTCTGGAAGGCAGGGTCTACTGAGGGCCAGAAACAGGGCCCTCCCTCTGTGCCCCCTTGTCCTGGTGTTTTCCTTTCACATCATTTAGACCCAGAACCTTCTGCCTTCTAGCTGGCTTGCCCCCAGAGCAAGTTTTAGGTCTTCCCACATGCCAGAAACTCCTGCTACCCGCCCCCATACCGAGGCTCCGCTATCTATCTGTCCCATTGAAGGCCCCAAGCTTCTGTGCTTAAAAATGAAGTCACCCCGGGGGCCCCTGGGTGGCTCAGTCAGTTAAACGTCCGACCCCGGCTCAGGTCATGATCTCATGGTTTGTGAGTTCGAACCCTGCGTCGGGCTCTACGCTGACAGCTCAGAGCCTGGAGCCTGCTTTGGATTCTGTATCTCCCTCTCTCTCTGCCCCTCCCCTGCTCATGTTCTATTTCTGTCTCTCTCTCTCTCTCTCTCTCTCAAAAATAAGTAAAACATTAAAAAAAAAAAAACTTAAAAGAAAATGAAGTCACCCATTTCTCAGGAAATCATCTCTGAAAAGCAAGCACAAATCCCAAGCTTTGTGCTGCCTGATTCCACATATTTTGAGTTCCTACTGTGTGCCAGGCATGGGGCTAGGTAGGGGCAAGGGACGCAGCAGTGGACATGGCAGATGAGGTCCCCATCCTGTGGAGAAACAAAATGCTCAATGAAACAAGTAATATAAACAAGACAATTGTAGAAAACATGACATATACTAAGAAGAAAAAAGAATCCAAGTGATAGAATGGGTAGTAGCGGGGGTGAGGGTGTTGGGAGGGGGAGGCTGTCTGGGGAGGTGACCCCTGAGCTGAGATCTGAGACTGAGAAGCAACCTACTGTGCAAAGCTTTGCAGGAAGGAACTCCCAGGTAGCAGGCATAGTAAGTGCAAAGGTCCTGAGGTAGGAGTGTGCTGGGGTGGGGGTGGGGTTGGAGGGGCAGACCTAAGACCGGGGCTGCTGAAAGGGAGAGAAGAAGTGAGTGATAAGAGATGAGGCTGGCATTTTAATCCCAAACCTTCACTCCATCAAGGCCATCTCTCAGGGCTGTTTGGAGAGGGGGGCTTGAGTCTTGCTGGTCAGGGCAGATGAGCACTTTCTGTGTAGAGGTCAGAGAGTCGGTAGGGCAGACACGCATGATAGAAATGAAGCCAATGGGCATCTTTGTGGCCCCAGAAATAGCCTTAAAGCCCGGCAGTCACCACAAGAGAATTCTAGAAGGGAAGGCAGTTCAGGGCCCAGGGTAGCCACAGGCTCTGGGCTTCTTTGTCAGACTACAGAGCAGGATCAAGGATAGAGACCAGCTCCCATCTACCGGTCCCTCTGTCCCCAGCAGAAGACATCATCATCTTTGTGTACTTTTCTCCCACGTGTGTCCTCATCTGCCTCATTATTTCTGGTGCACGTGGCCCCCTGCATCAGATGTCGGCCTTCTCTGAAGGTGACTGAACTTCCCCCTCGCCACCCCTGCCCCTCCCCCAGACCTCCCTCCTAGGGAAGAACCAGCCAGAATGCTCCCATTGCCCCCTGTTTATCCCTGCACCCACAGCGCACAGGGCAAGCTCCTCCCCCGGCCGCCGGCCATGGACCTGGGGGTCCTGGTCAGGTGTCCACCGTGGGTGCTGTTGCTAGGAGCTGAGGTCCAGGCTCACTGAGGCTGTGGCCTCTGTATAAGAGGCAGGTTGTAAATCCTAATCCCAACCCCCTGACCCCAGCTTGCTTGGAAAGGGCCTGGGGGTGGCAACCTAGGTCACTCTCCTGTGGTGACATCCCAGCATTTTCACCGGCAGAGCTCTTTCCTTGAATGAAATCGAAGCAGAATTACAATGGGCAAAACAGGTAAAAGTCGTATTTTGCATCTGATATGCTCACATGTATGTCATATTCTTATTATAATAAGAGAGAACAATTATAACACGATTGGATAAGATGAGAACAGGTTGCTTTGTTGAATATAAAATAAAAACAAGGGCTTATGGGTGATGGTTTCTGTCCTCGCCTCCAACTTGTTTCCCATTTTGTTTGTGTTGAACACGATTAGTTATTCGTACAGATAAGTAATTGCAAGTTTAAAGACGCTGCTTTGTGGCTCGGAGCCTGGAGCCTATTTCCGGTTCTGTGTCTCCCTCTCTCTCTGACCCTCCCCCGTTCATGCTCTGTCTCTCTCTGTCCCAAAAATAAATAAACATTGAAAAAAAAAATTATTAAAGACGCTGCTTTGTTTCTTACATTATCTCTCCTTGTGATGCTCTTTAATACAGATGCAGGAGAATCGTTAGCCCCGGGTCCACTCAAAGCAAACTTTCTGGTGGTTTCGAACGGGTTAAAAGTTGTGTAGCGTAATTGCCAGATGCTCCTTGTTCTTCCATACTGTTTTATTGTAAAAACGGTATCAGAAATGAACTTGAGCCAAACATTTGGGGCCTCTGCAGTGCCTCCCGAGTGCCCAAAGGGTCTGCAAGACGTGGTTCTTTACCGCCGCATCTCGCTTAGCAATCCCTCTACCTCGCACTGTGGGCCCTGCCCCCCAAACCCACTTCATTCCTTGTTTTCCAAAGGATCAGAGCTGGGAAAGACCCCAGGGCCATGTAGTATAAAGTCCATCTTATGCAGGAATTCCTCCATAGCCCCCCAACAGCATTCCTCCAGCCTCTGCCTGAATGCCCAAAGTGATGGAGAACTCACCCCTTTATGAAGCTGCCTGGTCTGGTCCTTTATGGGGCAGCTCTACTTATTAAACCTCTCCTCCTCTCTGAGCCTCTTTCCTTATCTGTAGGATGGACATAATAATATTTATCAGGCCGGACTTTGGTGAAGACCAAATAAGATGACAGAGAGCTGACATACGGAATGTGCAAGAAGGCTTAGTCTCCTGTGTCCTCTGCCGCCAGAGCACTCCATTTTAGAGGGACAGACAGCCTCGTGTCTCCCGGGGTAAGTGCACAGTGTGGAATGTGCCTCGCAGGGTGGACAGGGAGTGTGCATTCCCCTGGGACATCCCTAAGGGAGGTCTGCCTGGAGAGGCTGTCCACAGCGGCAGCGGCAGCAGCAAAGAGGACTCCCCCCACCACCCCGTGAGCGTCACCAACTCCACCCCAGCCCAGGCCCCCTCCTCCTGCCGGCCTCAGAGCCTCATCTATCTTCCCTCCTGTCACCTGAGCTGGAAACTTGTGGGGAGGCAAGGGGATTAAATCCCAGGGCCAGCCGCGCCCCCGCCAAGGAGCTGGCACTTCATTACCCGCCTGCCTGGCTGTCGGCGGCCATCGATCGGCCCTGGCCCGAGTGACCTCTGATTGACGGGCAGCGTGTTATTTACTGGCTTCTGTCCCGACCCAGCTGGGAAGAGGGGAGAGGGGTCTGCTCAGAGCTTCTGTGTTCCTGAGGCAGAAAGAACCGGCCACCAGCAAGCCTTGGGGTGGGAGGGAATGTTCCCGTGGGAGTCAGGGCTCCCGGGCCCAGCACAGCAATGTGATCTTGGCTGACATCTCTGGCCTCCCCTGTCCCTGATCCTCAGTGTCCTCTATAAAAGGATTGGGTGCAGGGGCGCCTGGGTGGCTCAGTCGGTTAAGCTGCCAACTTCAGCTCAGGTCGTGATCTCTCGGTCTGTGAGTTCAAGCCCCACATTGGGCTCTGTGCTGACAGCTCAGAGCCTGGAGCCTGCTTTGGATTCTGTGTCTCCTTCGCTCTCTGCCCCCCCCCCCCCCTCGCTCATGCTCTGTCCTTCTCCCTCTCAAAAATAAATAAACATTAAAAAAGGATCCGTGCGGCTGGCAAGGCTCACAAACGTAGCAGCCCTCAGGGCAGCAGGTAATGAAGAAGATAAAGGGGCGAGTTGGGGCTGGCGCCCTGTCCAAAGGGGACACCTTGCTCCCTCCATCTTGCCCCACGCCTCGTCTCCCCCACCCACTTCTGACTCAGCTGCAGCTGGGGAAGCTTCCGTGCCCTCTGCAGGTAAGCGCTTTTCTCTCCTCTTTCCTGCCACGGGCCTTCTTTCCAAGCCAGCCCCTGTGCCCAGCAGCCGGAAACTGCAAGGAAGGTCGGCTTCTGGGAGGAGATTATATTTGAGAAGGGCTTTGACAGAGCAGAGGACCTGGGGACACGGGTATAGGATTGCTGAAGGTCATCACCCCCTGCCCCCATGGCTCCAGCCCCCTTGGCAGGTCAACCTGGTGCGGACCACATGATCTCATGCCTGCCCCGAGTGGAACAGAGCAGGCACCTGACTAGGGGCAGCTAATCACTAGTGACAGAGGCTGCCTTGACCTGTGGCTTGTGCTGGAATCTGCTCAGGATCTTGACCAAAATGCAGTAGACAGGGCAGTTATGAGTGCAGGAGTGGCGGGGGAAGTACAAGGAGGGGCCGCATGGAATCAAAGCCATCATGCAGCACATTCTGGGAGTAATGGGTGAGCAGGGAGCCGGCCTGTGGCACAAAGAGTGCACCATGCATGGGCGGGAGTGCCTAGCCAGGACAGGGGACATTCATCGAGTGTCCCTCCTCCCCATCATCTCGTGCGAGAACAGAGCACGGTGTGTGGGCACACGTATATACTTCTGCACACAAATGTGCACACAAATGTCCCTGCCAGGTTCAGAGATGTAGAGGATTAGAATATCAGACGGGGCCAGATGAGTGAGCTGGGGCCAGACGATGGGGACCCAGAGCATCAGGAAGTCCTGCGAACCTGTAGATGTTTGTCCTAGACAGCCGCCCAGTGGGGTGGGGAGGGAGCTAGAGACAGCAATGGGATGGGGGATGGGGGATGGGGGTGCGGCTGTGGGAGAGTTGGGACCAGCTGGCCACCCTGGGAAGACATTGCCAAGGCAGAAGCTTCGCATTGGATGTAGGGACAGAGAGAAGGGGGCTGTTTCCAGTTTGGACAACCAAGAGAACCGCGGGGCTGTTGACCTGGTGAGAGGGCTTGTCTTGGTTGGCTGGATTTGGGGGCCTGTGGTTTTAAGGTGACACCAGCCCAGGCAACTGGAATCGCTGATCAGAAGAGAGCCCAGGAGAGAAGTCAGTGGTTCAAAACAATTTCGGAGGCATCAGGATGCAGGGGCCCGAGGGAGAAGAGTTCTTTCTCCAGGAGTAGATATTTGTGCCCATGGAGGGCTGGCTGCCCACTCACGGTCCACTCTGGACCCAATTCCAGTGTTTGGGGGTTTCCCCCATACCAAGCATTCTGTGACGCCAGCTGGGGGGTCCTGTGAAGTCAATCAATTGTGACACTGTCTACCTGGAGATAGCGTCAGATGCCACCGGTTAGGGGCTGGGTCCCACACGACTGTCCCCACTTCAGCCGCCAGTCCGGAGCCCAGGCTGTCACCCGATGGATTGGTCATAAATCGGAGGTTCCCACAACCCCTCCTTGGGTTCGATGAATTTGCTCGCAGAGTTCAGAGAAACATTTCCTTATTAGATCACCAGTTTATTATAAAAGGACATAACTCAGCAACAGGCAGGTGGAAGAGAGGTAGGGGGAGGGGTGCAGAGCATCCGTGCCCTCTTTGTTTTGTTTTGTTTTGTTTTTTCAACGTTTATTTATTTTTGGGACAGAGAGAGACAGAGCATGAACGGGGAGGGGCAGAGAGAGAGGGAGACACAGAATCGGAAACAGGCTCCAGGCTCCGAGCCATCAGCCCAGAGCCTGCCGCGGGGCTCGAACCCACGGACCATGAGATCGCGACCTGGCTGAAGTCGGACGCTTAACCGACTGCGCCACCCAGGCGCCCCAACCCGTGCCCTCTTTGAATCGCCACGTGGTCACCAATCTGGAAGCTCCCTGAACCCCCGTCCTTTTGGGCTTTTGTGGAGACCTGCTCACGCAGATGTGACGATTAAATCACAGGCCACGGGCAACTGATTCACCCTCCCCGCCCCCCTCCCTGAAGGTCTGCGGGAAGGACTGAATCCCATAATCCCCTGTGGCTCTGGCTCCTTCTCCAGGCAACCAGCCCCCAGGCTTACAAAAGTTGCCCCTTTCGCGTAACAAAAGACACGCTGCCGCCTTGTCACTTAGGATATTCCAAGAGTTTCAGGAGCTCTGGGCCAGAAATGGGAAGAACACCAGTGAAACAAACCCTCTCAACCTCCCTCGCAGCTAGTGGTGAGCACGTGACATCCCTGGGCGGCTTGGGCTGGTGCGGACTCTCCTCTCCAGACTTCTCGGTGTATGAGAAAAATTAAAAGGTCGCGGTCATTCAAGTCTTCCTTGCTTGCTGCTGCAGCTGCACGTGTTCCTGACAGTTTCAGGGGTCAAGGGCGGTGCCTGGGACCTCAGACAGCAGGAGGGTAGAGGGGGGGAGCAAAGCCACTGGAGGTGTGGGGGGCCAGCAAGGTGGGTAGAGGCCCGGAGGAGCACCCCCTGGAGAAGTCGGGGGAGGAAGTAACAGCACTGCACAGAGGTCTAGGGGGGTACAGACTGTGCAAGAGGAGGTCCCCAGGGCCAGAAGTCCGTGGTCACCCTGACTCGGAGCTCCTGGAGGAGGGGCTGAAGGCAGCTGCACAGGAGGGGAGGAGGGTGGAGTCCTGGCTCCCCAGGGCAAGGGGGCGGGGGAGACTGGAGAGGGAGAGAGTGTGAATATTTAACAAGAAGCTTCACTGAATTTCTTCCTGTTGCTGCCCCCACCCTGGGGCAGCCTGAGTGCCCTTTTTGACCTCTTGCTAGTAACGGGGCCAGCCCCACTGCAAAAAGCAAGACGCTCTGTTACGGTGCTAGGGCCACGGGCTGTGGGTTGGAGGGACTTGGAGGGCACAGGCCTGCCCACCTCCTGCCCCAGCTGGAGACAGAGGTCCAGAGGACTCTGGGTGATTAAAAGGCCTGGCTCCTCCCCTTGGGCCAGAGCTTCTCCTCCTCCCTGTTCCCTCAGGCTGGCTAAACCCTGGAAACTGATAAAGCCCCTGGGAAGGAGGCCTTGAGAGGAGGAGGCAGGCCCTGTGCTCACCCCGGCTTGGAGGTTGGGGGCCAGGGTGGACAGGACACGGTTTTGGTGAATGATCCAATTCTGGCCGTGTGTCCACAGGCCTCTCTGCTGGGGGTGGGGGAATCTGCCTACACTGGGTATGTGTAGACAGGGTGCCCTCAGAGGGAAGAGTACGCAAAAGCCTGAGTGTTTTTGTCTGGGGTAAACGGCTCAAATCGTTGTTCAGATGTTTTGGTCTCAATTAACCTTTCACATGGTTTTCTGGGGATCTGCCTGCTGTTTGTTGGAGATTCCTCGTGTCAGCAAGTCCTCTTGGTCCGCTATAGATCCCAACAGTTAAAAACCAGAAATAGACAAGAGCCCTTAAATCATGCCCTAACTAAAGCCCTTTGTGTTTCTTTCGCATTCCACTTTCTTGAGGCATTGATAAAGATGTTTTGTAATGACTGGAACTTTCCAATAGCCAGGCCAGGAAAAGCCCATATAGCAACCGAAGGCCCAGAAGACCTCACCCCACACGTCCCTTCTCCTGCCCAGGATCGCGCGCTGAGCACAGACCAACCCCATCCATGATCGCACGCGTGCACACACACACACACACAAACACACACACACACCCGCCTCCTCTCTTGCACGTACCCCCCTCTGAACCTCTCCTATAAAACTCCAGGTGTCCATCTTGCAGGCAGATAGGTCAGATGTTAAGGCTTGAGCATGCCACCTACCCTGACTGCCGGCACCCAGAATACATCTCTCCCTTTCTCTCTTCCACAGCCCTGTCTCTTGAGTTACTGGCTTCTCTTGCGACAAACGAGTTTATCCGAGTTAGTTCGGCAACAGTGTCGGCACACCCAGCCAGAAGCTATTTTTTCGATTTGTCCAGACCTTTCGGGATTCCCTGCATGGGAGCCGCTGGCCGCGGCAGCTCAGCCGGGCTCACCTGTAGGTTTTCTAAGTCAGAAGCTGATAGAAGGATCCATAACACCCATACCAGCCTCTGTTCTCGTAACCTGGACAATCTCCTGTCTGCCACGTTTAGCTGAGTTTAAAGGTCACCGCCTCCTAGAAGCCCTCCTAACTTGCCCCTCTACCTTACAGCAGTCAGTCGATCTTCCTCCCACATCAGCCTTCGCCCCACTGGGTATAACGGTTTGCTTGTTCCCACCCCACATGTACTAGACCATTAGTTCTCAAACCTTTTGGTGTCGGAACCCCTTTACACTCTTAAAAATTATTTAGGACCCCAGAGAGCTTTGGTTTGATGTAGGTTTATCAATATTTTACCACACTTGAAATTAAAGCTGAGACAATTTTAAGTTTTCATTTATTAACTCACTTAAAGATGAAAATAAGAAACTCAGTACATGTTAAAAACAGGAATACACTTTTGTGAAAGATGACTATTTGGGGAAACAAAAGAGCAGAATTTTTCATATTTTTGCAAATCTCTTTAAACGTCTAGCTTAACAGAAGACAGCTGGGTCCTCACACGTGCTTCCATATTCTATCTTGAATATTCCATATTCTACCTTCAATATGCTGCTTTGGTTGAAGTAGACGAAGAAAATCTGGCCTCGTTCAGATAGGGAGCCGGGAAAGAGAGAATTCCAGTAGCCTCTTCCGTTATTGTGGACATTCGTCTTTGATATTACACCAAACCTCAACAGAGGTCATAGATTTTTTTTTTTTTAATTTTTTAAATGTTGTTTATTTTTGAGAGAGAGGGAGACACAGAATCCAAAGCAGGCTCCAGGCTCCAAGCTGTCGGCACAGAGCCCGACCTGGGGCTCGAACCCACGAACCGTGAGAGATCATGACCTGAGCCAAAGTTGGATACTTAACCAACTGAGCCACCCAGATGCCCCCTCTTTTTTCTTTTTTTAAAATTAAGTAGGCTCCATGCCCAATGTGGAGCTTGAACTCACAACCCTGAGATCAAGAGTTTCATGTTCTACTGACTGAGCCAGCCAGGTGCACCAACCTGCTGTAGATTCTTAAGGGTGAGTTCAAGTCTGGAATCTGAAACCTCACCAACAAACTTTTTGTATTCTGTTACATTAAAATCCATTGGTCTATCTTACACTTTGAATGCTCTTTTACCCGTGTAAGATTTTGTAACACCCTGTGTTGGCCATTCGGAAATAAAGTCTTTAAGTTATTAGGAAGCTGTCAAGCTCCTGGTCCCAGAGAAAATTGGTCCCAAATTCAAAGTTTTGCTTGAAAGCTCAAATGTTATCATTGGCAACAAATGCCATTGTTTTCCTTGGAGCAACATGCTCCCTTCATTCATTTTCAAGAAAATTATGTCAAATACCCGAGAAAAATAACTAGTTTGTCTACAGGTTGTTGTTGTTGTTGTTTCCAAGTAAAAACAGTGCCCCATGAAAAAATGGCTGCTTCCGCTTCCGACTCCACCAATCACGTAGCGCTATCCTTTGAGACAATGATTGCGCTTCGAGATGCAGCCGAAATGCCTTCTCTGTCCTTCCCACGTTAGCACACAGGATATTAAAAGGATGTGTACTCAAAGATACAGATTTAATAAAGTTAATGATTTTTATTGGCAAATCAAGGACTTTCAGTGCAGCTGGTGATGGAGTTCAGGGCAGGCCGCCCCCAAATATACCACTTTGACATACTGATTATTTTGAACTACGGTTACTTGGGAAACACGCAAGAAGGATACTCTGACCCTACTCTGTCCCCCTTGAAAGCGGGAAATAAGTCCCCCATGTGAAAGGTACCCTCAGTGTACCAGGAGGTAGAAACATCCTCATCCCCGGCGGTACAGAATGTGGGGCCAAGAAGGCCGGATAAACAAAACCTGCTACTTTGTCATTAATTTACTGCCACAAGCCCCCAACTTCTTTGTCTTATCAATTCTTCACAAAGGTATTGTTTCTGTGCCTAAAAGTATGAAAGCTGTCCGCTTCGGTCACTTCTCTGAGTCTCATATTTTTATGAGCTCCCATATGTGAAATTAAATTTGTTTTTCTCCTGTTAATCTGTCTTCTGTCAATTTAATTTTTGGACCAGCTGAACCACCTGGAAGGGAAGAAGGGAAAAGTGTTCCTCTCCTTCCTGCAAGAAAAGAAAACCGTGGTCACTGTTTGCTTGGTACAGTTTGGTGCCACCAGCCAGATTTGTATTGAGGCACTAGCATTTTTTATTTTCTTTCTTTCTTCTTCTCTTTCTTTCTTTCTTTTTTTTTGAGAAGGAGAGGGGCAGAAGGAGGAAGAGAGAGAGAGAAAGAGAGAGCATCTTAAGCAGGTTCTACGCTCAGTGCAGAGCCCATGGTGGGGCTTGATCCCACGACCCTGGGATCATGACCAGACCTGGACTCAAGAGTCGGATGTGTAACCAAGGAGCCGCCCAGGTGCCCGTAGGCACCAGCATTTTTAGGCGCCACAGCTTGGGCACCATTAGTTGCCAATATTAGCACAATGAAAAAAAATAGCGCCTTAGTATTCAAATGAAAATAGTTTTGACCTTGAGCCCCTCACCCCTGAAAGAGTCTTGGGACCAGACCTTGAGAACTGCGGTGTGTGATCTTGTCCGTGGGTCCTTGGCACAGAGACAATGCCCAACAACCATGCACAGAGTAGGAGTCAACACTGTTGAGCACTCCCTGGGAACTTTCAAGGGACAGATTCATTGTCCTCACATCCACCCTTGAGGGAGGTATTTTTTTTTTTTAATTTTTTTTTTCAACGTTTATTTATTTTTGGGACAGAGAGAGACAGAGCATGAACGGGGGAGGGGCAGAGAGAGAGGGAGGCACAGAATCGGAAACAGGCTCCAGGCTCTGAGCCATCAGCCCAGAGCCCGACGCGGGGCTCGAACTCACGGACCGCGAGATCGTGACCTGGCTGAAGTCGGACGCTTAACCGACTGCGCCACCCAGGCGCCCTGAGGGAGGTATTTTTATTATCACACCCATTCCACAGGTGAGGGGACCAAGGCACAGAACAGTGCCGCTCTCTACCTCCTCTCTATTAAAACCAGAATCAATTGGGGCGCGTGGGTGGCTCAGTTGGTTAAGTATCTGACTTCGGCTCAGGTCATGATCTCACGGTCCGTGAGTTCGAGGCCCACGCCAGGGTCTGCACTGACAGCTGGAAACCTGGAGCCTGCTTCGGATTCTGGGTCTCCCTCTCTCTCTGTCCCTCCCCTACTCATGCTCTGTCTCTCTCCCTCTCTCAAAAATAAGTAAACATTAAAAATTTTTTTTTAAAAAAAAGAGAGAATCAGTCAACCTCCAGAAATGCGTCTGGGAAAGGATTAC